TGTTTCTATTTTTTGTTTGCTTTGTTTTTTAGATTCCACATATAATCTAATTCTTCCCGGTACAGACTTTCAACCAATCCTTTCCCCACCCTTTTTAACCTCACACCTATTCCTTCTTACCAGTATGCCTGTTTCGTCTAATTCCCGAGTCTTTCTGGGATTCGACTGTGTCAATTAGCTTGCTTCTTATTAGTAGTCCCAGCCACTGGCATGTAAGTTTCAGCAGCCACCATTTTTTTTTAAGTCAATTAGCACCTCCTCCATCTTTTTATCTTCCAAAATTTTGTGAACACTTATTGTACACAGTTGTTATTTTCTTCCGTTCTCTTTGTCCTGAATGGTACTTTACAGACAAAAACAAAAACAAAAACACCTCCTTATTGTCATTTTAGAGGAATTTTTTAAAGGCACAAAGATAGACCCATGTCTAAATGACTGTATTTAACAAGAAGTCTCTCACCCTCATTAATACTATTGTTATTACCATATTATTGTTTCAGTCTTAATTTTTGATCATTACCCATCTACTCATCTTTATTAAGGCTTCACATGTTTTAAATTTAGCTTCTGATATCAACTTGTAAACTTGGAACTGAACTAAGAAACTGGTATTGACTAATTTTTTGTACAACTTTTGTATAAATTTTTGTATTTGCTAAATAACTGTAAATAAATGGCCCTTGGTTTGGCCAGGCCATTAGCTTAAGAGCTAGTTATGATTCATATTTTATACTTATGTATATATTCTTTAACACTCACTACTCAGTCTGACCTGTAGCGCTGACATTATCTGGGAGCTTGTTAGAAATGTAGTGAGGCTCCACTCCAAACTACTGAAACAGAGCCTGTGTTTTAACTAGATTCCCAAGTGATTCACAAACACATTCAAGTTGGAGAACTAGTCTAGTATTTCCCCCACAGCCCGCCTCATTCTGTTCTCTCTTCCTCTCCCATTCCCAGTAGTACCCAAGACATTTTCTTGTCAAGTATCTCGCAGTTTGAGCATCATGAAAGTTACCTTTTCCACCCCTCCCCCACCCTCATGGGTCTGTCCCAGAGGTTCTCTTCCAGGTATGTTGACATCTAAAGTCCCCTACTCCTCCAAAAGGGAAAAGCCTCAACAAGTACCAGGCTCTGGATGCATGCTACGTGAGGTCAAACTGCCTCTACCAGTTACTAGCTGTGGGATCTTGGGCAAGCCACATCACTGCACTGTGCCTGTTTCAGCTCTGATAGCTCTGATTTGATGCAATTGAAGCTATATCCTCTAAAATGAAGGCTTTAGCACTGAATATTTAGGAATTTCTCCTTGTCTTCTGCTGAATGGTGTTTCTATCACATAAGTACATGAAAGGAATATTTTATTCATTTGGACTCTTTGCTGCTGAATCAACTAGTTTCACCTTCATCTGGGGATGGATTTTATAATTATCTGCTGAATCAATAGATTCCCCAAACCTTCTGACCTTGGGACTGCTTACCTGGCGAACATACTCTCTGAGCTTCACAGATGGGGCATTCATCTGCTTCACAGTTCAAATACTGAGAAAGACCTCGGCAATGAGCACAGGAAGCAACAGGGGATGGTGATAGTTGCAGAAAGGTTGGGGTAAAAACTGGAGGAACCTCAGCAAAGGTAGAAGAGGGAGAAATGGGAACATATATTGTCTGACAGGCAGTTGTCCAGTGATGGGCTTAACTTTTCCAACATTAGGTATGTTAGTTGTAGGTTTCCACAGATGCCCTTTATCAAATTAAGTTTCCTTCTTTTCCTAGTTTGCTGAGAGTTTTAGTATACGTGCTGCCGAAGAGAGCACTTAGTTTGCTGAGAGTTTTAAATAATAAATCAGTGTTGAATCTTGCTGAATGCTTTTTCTACATGTATGAAAATGGTCTTTATTTATTCTGTTAATATGATGATTACAGTAATTAACTTTTAATGTTAAACCAACCTTGCATTCTGAGATAAACTCTACTTGATCATGACATATTATGCTCTTTACATATTGCTGTGTCAAATTAGCTAATAGTTTAGCAATTTCTGCATCTATGTTTATGACGTATATTGATATATCACTTTTTCTCCAGGTATCTTTGGCCGGTTTTGGTACTGTGGTAATAATGCTTTTCTCATTAAAAATTTTTTTTAATGTTTATTTATTTTTGAGAAAGAGAGTGAGCACGAGTTGGGGAGGGGCAGAGAGAGATAAAAGGAGACAGAGAATCCGAAGCAGGCTCCAGGCTCTGAGCTGTCAGCCCAGAGCTCAACGCAGGGCTTGAACTCACAAGCTGTGAGATCATGACCTGAGCTGAAGTTAACCGACTAAGCCACCTAGGTGCCCTTCATTTAAAAAAAAATGGGAAGCAAGTATTCCCTTTTCCCTATTTTCTGAAAGTTTATGTAGAATGAAAGCTTTTTCTTCTTTAAGTGTTTGAGAAAACTCATCAATAAAGCCACATGGATCTGGAGTTTTCTTCTGTAGGAATATTTTTGATAATAAATTTATTTGGTATAAGGCTACTCAGATTTTCTATTTCATCTTGTATCAGTTTTAGCAAGCTGTATTTTTTAAGGAATTTGTTGACTTCATCTAATTTATTGGTTTAAAGTTGCCCATAATTAAAAAAAAAAAAAGTTGCCCATTATATTCCTTATTATCCTTTTAATTTCTGTAAGATTTACAATAACATCCCCCATCTCATTCCTGATAAGAATTTGTGCTTTTTCTTTTCTCATTTAGGTTTCTTAGAGCTTTAATTTTGTTAATCTTTTCAAAGAACCAACTTTTGGCTTTGTAACTTTTTTTTTAATATCATTAATTTTGTGTTTCCTTTCTTCTACTTATTTTGGATTTAATGTGCTCATCTTTTTCAACAGCTTATTCCTTCCTTTAAATATAAGTATTAAAAGCTATATAATTTAGGAAGCAAATATAATTCTACTGATTTGACCTCTCTGGGTTACTCACCCTTGAAAGAAATTCTTAAATCTTTTTTTTAGGTAAAACTTTTTATGAGAATCAGTAAATTCTACCCAGGGGGAGAGTATGAATATAAATCTAAAGAATGATTATAAAGATATAAAAAGCCTAGCATTCCTGTTATATAACTCTTGGTTTTTCATTCCATTCCAAGCTGGGTGTGTTTATTCTAAAGATGCTTGAATTTTAAGAACCCGCAGTTCCTGTTTTGGATGCTATGTTGTAATTACCAGTGACTCATTCAGACATACTTAAGTTTTGGATGTAAATGAAGGTTAAGTATGACTTCAGTTGATTTTAATGCTTTGACTATATCAACTGCATCACTAGTACACTGTCAAGATGAAATCTTCCTCTATTACTATTTACATTAATGTAATGAGTCATTTTTCTTCAGTCATTGCTTATATTTTTATATTTAGCTTTGAAAATTTAAACTTCATCTCTCCTTAATAATTCATCTTAGAGTTCTGATTTTTAAATAGTGAAAAGGGTTATTGCACAGATTACTTTCTTTATACTTATTGTAGATCGTACAAAAAATAATTTCCATCACAAAATTCCTTTAAAGAGTTTTATTTTGGGGGGGTGGGGTGGGGTGCCTGGCTGGCTTAGTTGGTAGAGCATGCAACTCAGGGTTGTGAGTTCAAGCCCCGTGTTGGGCATGCAGTCTACTTAAAAAAAAAAAAAAAAAAAAAAGTTTAAGAGGTTTTTGTTTTTTTTTAAGGGATGATTTGTGCTATCAAATTAAACTTTTTAAAAAGTCAACCCAAATCAAGATATTCCTAAACATACACACAACCAAGTGAATATCTGCATATTTTAGAAAAATATTTTTCCTAAATTCATCTCTTAAAACATAGGTAACAAGGAACCTGGATGGCTCAGTTGGTTAAGTGTCCGACTCTTGATTTCAGT